TCGCCTTTCGTGGCGTTGTAGACTTTATTTTTTCCTCGAAAAACTAGCCAACGAAATTTCTTGGTTACCAGAATATTCTGTATGAATTTGAAACTAAGAAGTTGGCTTATTTCTAGGCTCTTCGAAAAAATCAAATTGGAGCATAGACTTTGAAACATCGCAATGGATACAGAGATAGGTGGATTCGACCTTTGGTCATTGATGTGTATGATAAGGTGATTCATAAAACCTCTTTTATGTTTAATCCTTCAACCACGAGAAGGACTACTGTCGTTGTTTCGCTGCTATTGATTTTTTTACTCGTGTGCCAATTCTTCAGCAGAGTTTTCACGGTGTATTGTTCATTTTTTGTTTCAGGTGAGTTACGATCCGTTATATTCTCTCTTACTAGGTGTTTGTGAGTTCATATTTTTCTTCTTTTTTTCCTATGCTATTACATACCATGGATTTAAATTTTCTTTATATTTAGATTTGTTGTTTCGGAACAATGGTGCTCTTAGGATGGAAAATCCCCGAAAACCAACCAGGAGAATTTTCCTGCCGAATCGTACTATGCAATCTAAATATTTTAGTATGTAAGGATTCCATCCAAGCCATTCACTTGCCCTGAGAGAAATTAGGAGGGGCGGGAGGGGGTCGTTATGTGCAAACTGCCATCTTGAATGGTGCTTATAGGATGGAAAATCCCGGAAAACCGTCCAGGAATATTTTCCTGCCAAATGGTAATATGCAATTTAAATACTCTAGTGTTTATGGATTCCATCCAAGCCATTCACTCACCCTGAAAGAGATCAGGATGAGGCTGCAGGGAGCCGTTATGTGCGAACTGTCATAATTGCGCTTCCAAAGTGGAAAATTACGGAAAACCGGCCAGGAAAATTTTCTTGTCAAATCAACCTTTGCAATCAAAAGACTCTTGTTTGTAGGGCTTCTTTCCACACTATTCATCTTCTTTGAAGCAGATAATTGTAGGGGGGAGGGGGTCGTTCTATGCAAACCGCCATATTTAATGGTGTTCTTAGGATGGAAAATCCCAGAAAACCGGCCAGGAAAATTTTCGTGCTAAATCGTGCTACTCAATCTAAATACTCTAGTATATGGTGCTTCTATGAAAGCCATTCGCTGTTGGTCGTTTTAATCAAACTATCATGTTTTATTGTGTTGGCAAGATGGAAAATCCCGGAAAATCGGCCATGGAAATTTTTGGACAAATCGTACTATGCAATCTAGATACTCTGGTGTGTGGTGCTTCTATCCAGACCATTCCCCTACCCTGAATGAGATATTTTTAGGAAGAGAGGGGATCGTTTTATGCAAACTACCACGTTTAGTGCAGATCGAACGATGGGATATCCCGGAAAACCGGCCAGGAAAATTTTTGTGGCAGATTGCAGTTTCTAATATAAATACCTTACTATGTAGTGCTTCTAACCACACCATTTACCCACCCTGAATGAGATAATTTTAGGGGGAGAGGAGGTCGTCATATGCAAACTGCCATGTTTAATGCAGGGCCAACGATGGTAAATCCCGGGAAATCGGCCAGGAAAATTTCCATACCGAGTCATACTGTGCAATTTAAATACCCTACCTACTATTTACTAAGCAGTGCTTCTAACCACACGACTGACTAAAAAATTCCTATTGAATACAAGTACAAATGTAAAATGGAAAATCCCGGAGAACTGGCAAGGAAAAATAAAGTGCCAAATCGTTCTATGCAATTTAAAAACTCTAGTGTTTATGGATTCTATCTAAGCCATTCATTCTCCCTGAAAGAGATAAGGACGAGGCTGCAGGGAGCCGTCATATCCCTGGTAAAAATTGGCGATAGGAGCTGCGTTTCAAAATACCATAGGAGTTATTATAGCCGACTGAAGAGGGCGATAGAAAGTCATATAGCTGGCTGTAGAAAGTGGAAAAAATCATACGACCGGGCTACACGAAGCGATAAAAAATTATACAGCCGGGCTATAGTTCCTATCGCCGGGCTTTACACTTTATCGCCTGGCCGTTGCTTTTTCGCCATCGGCTATTAAAGGCTATACGAAATTGCGTAGAAATTCTTGTGCTTTGTAAATCCTTAAGTTTGTACGGAATCACCTTAATATTTACAAAACGCACATTATATTTTCCTTTACTACACATTTTTTTTCATTAATTAAAATGAGAATAATCCATACAGAGTGTGTAAACATTCCAAAGTCATGAGTTGAAACACGCTGACTCTGCGAGATTAAATATTGGAGCCCAACACAAAGTGGAGCGGCGGCGCACTGGCGCCTGCAAACCTAACAGGGATACTTCACGCATTGCGCAATGCGTGAAGTATCCCTGTTAGGTTTGTAGGCGCCAATGCGCGTTCAGCGCTGGCTCCCCGCCCGCCCGCCGCGCCGCGCCGCGCCGCAGTGTACCGCGGCGCTTGAAGCAACTATTTCACACCGGAGGTATTGCACAGTATCATACGAAATTGAAAGCGCTCCAACATATTAGGAATGGCAGGCATCCTTCAAAAGTACGGAGCTTTCCTCGCAAATTAAATTAAGATACTGCGGCCCAAAAAGAGAGCGGTAGTCCAAAAACTCACGAAGTCCTAGCATCCGTAATTAGTAACGTTTAGCATACACTTTATCGCCAGGCTGTTGCTTAATCGCTATCGGCTATAATAGGCTATAAGAAATTGTGTTGCCGGCTATAGAAGCTACTGGAAATCTTACAGCCGGCTGTTGGTCTATGGTATTTTGGAACAGAGATTCTACTGCCAATTTTTACCAGGGTATGCGAACTGTCATGTTTAATTGTGCTTCCAAAGTGGAAAATCCCGGAAAATCGGCCAGGAAAATTTTCAAGCCAAATCATACTGTGCAATTTAAATGGACAGCGTTAAACAGAAAGGAACCAAGCCACATCAGCTATTGCCAAATTCAATTGGGCGAATGAATCTTTTACATGAAAACGGCAGGGCGGATTTTGGTGCAAATTTAAGTGAATTTTCTCCATTATACGAAGCAAATTCCTAAAACTTTTCAAAGGAACAATGAAGTAATTAAATGCAAGTGCTCAACTGTAGTCTTAAATTTAAAGTTTATTTGAGCCACAAGTTTAAAAGAATTCTTTCGAATTAATTACGCTTCCCTCAAAATATAAAAGCAACACTTTACTCCTACATCTATGATCTTTTTCAAAAATACATAATCCATTTATCCCACAAGGAATCGGGTAAATAGAGGGAGCTTTTACACGGTGACTTTTTAGGGAAAAGGCACTAAGGTCAGCTAATGGAATGCAAAGGAGCTTAGAAAATTTATGTTTTTAATCAGCCTTTAAGATTTATCGACTCGTATAGGTCACAACTTTTTGTCAAAGTCTTTCTCTTCAAAGAAAATGAGATATGTTGATCTGTGTGAAATTCATCTGCAAGAATCGTAGTTGCAATCTAATTTGAGGCATTTTTTTCGATTAGAGGAGTATAATTTTTTTGACTTTAGCCTTTTGAGAGCCTGGTTTGAAGTTGATTTTTATAAAATCTTCATCCAACTACCAACATAAATCAATGTTCGTCTTCTTTTGAAGGGAACACAGAGGCTGGAATAATTGAGAATCCCTTTTCCTCAATTATTCACCCGATGATTTTATCATTGATCCGCTGTAGATAAGTTTGTGAAGAGAATAAAGATTTTCAGCAGAATTATTATTGCTAATTTACAATTTTGCCTTAAAGAGGCCTGAAACGCCTTCTTGGGTGACATCAAAGAAAGCTTGCTAGATACTTAAGACAATTTCTTGGAGGTAAGTTTCCTGTTCTTTTAAATGCAAGACAATTATGCAAAAGTATTAAAGAGGGAGTTGATGATAACATTTTAATTCTTGCAATGAATCAATAAAGTGAAAACACAGAATTTCCTATTTTATAGACAATTTAATAATCATTTTATATATTTGATTTATGGATGCATTTAGAAATCCATGTAAGATTTGACTAAGATAACTGAGCATGAGTAGCACTGAGATATAAAAAGTAAACAGAGTGAAGAAAAAATAGAAAGGGCTACTTACACAGAAACATTTTTTATATAAGATGATTTTCCACATAATTTCCATTTGTCAAAAATGTTAATAAAAGGATAGAACATTGGCAAGGGAAACAATCATAAGATAGAAAGCTTCGGGAGGGTTCAATTTTTTTACCACATCAAAAAGCAGAACAACTGGTTACTTACTTAGTGTCATGAAAGGAAGAGCAAAGACTATAAATATGATGTAACATACAAAGTGAAAATAAAATTGTAAATCTGAGTGTTATGTTGTGAATGTCCACTCACGTTTTAATTTTTCAAAAAAGACTAACTAGAGAGAGTCAAGCAAAATAGTCACACTCACAAGTGGTGTTTCAGAATCCCATCTCCTATTTTAATTTTGTACAGGGAAACCAACCAACACCGACTCGAATTTGTTGTAAATTTTCTTACTTTCATGAAGTTAAGTTCCACAAAATTTCAAGCATAAATGTCAGTTGGTTTTTTTCCAAAAATTTAGAACAGGAGCTGAGATTTTGAAACACTGCATGTAATGTGACGGTTTAGCTTAATTCCATTCGACTATCAGTTGGACTGCATTTTGCAATTTGGAACTATAAATTCTGGCCCGGTTTAAAAACAACGTATGTGCCATTAGTTTCCCTATGCATATAAGTGTTCTTTCGGATGAGCCAGAATTTATAGTTCCAAATTGCGAAATGCAGTCCAATTGATCTTAAAATTTTTGGTAGATTTTTTTACGCATAAAAAGTTTTCAAGTGATATTTTAGCTGTTTTATTTAAAATTTAGTGTCTAGTATTGACGATTTTTTCCATTCCCTGATAGTAACTTATTTCTTTCTAATTTCCTTGGAAATATTCCCTGATGAAAACAAGGATTTCTAATCATTCATCTCTAACTTTTCTTGGGGGGAAACAAGATTTTCCTCCGGGTTTCAAGACGAAAATCAACTTAGCTATATTTAATCTGGTTTCTCCTTTCAAGTCAAGTTCAGCAGACACCCAGTTTAGAAAAATAGTATGATCTCAGAGCAAAAAGAGAGGAATGTTCCTGATATGGCCATTCCCACAGAATTTGCCTAATTTTCCCTGATATGTTTCATTCCCTGATGGATTCAAGTATTTTCTGAGTTTTTACAGGTCCTCGAAATCATGCTTTTTTAAAAGAAAAAAAATTGAACATAATTGGAGATCATGTTCTTCTCTTAGTAGCTGAATTATCTTTACTTTTTTTCCATGACTAAATTAATATTGGTTTTATCATGAGCAGGAAGTATAAATTGACTGATTCTAATGTAGACTATAAATGCTAATTTTTCCATTTCAAGCTGATACATTACTCTGAGCAAATAATTAAGTTCCTCGTGATATTTTGACAAGGGGACATATCTTGTGGTACTCTCAGTCATACCCTGTCTGGTGTTCTATTCAGCATAGAACTGAAATTCTGATGATGAAGGAAAAATTAAAATATGATAAACATGAGAAGAAAAGCTTTAATGAGCTGCTTCCCTTCATCATGAGAGTTACAATCATGTGTTAACTTTAATTTTTGATGACGAAATCACTGGATCTCTATCGGTGTACCTAACTTAAACTCTTGAACATTTTTGGTGAAGTAAAAGCATTCACACATGCATTGGAAAGCGTTGGCCTTCTTCTACAAAGCTTTCATAATATCAAAGTATAATTTATTGAGATCTATTTTTTTTAAGAGCAAAAAATAGTAGAGTAAAAATCATTCCTCAACCAGATCTTTTGTTTTTTCCTTTCCTGGTAGAGAATAATTCAGCCAAAGTACTTCTGCTACTGAGGATGTAAGACAATGTTCTACAAAAAGAACCTGTTATTTTTATTAAAAATTTTGGACTGCAGGTTGTCATCGTCCCAGTAGGTTTTCCTAAAAATCTCATAATGGAGCATCAGTTGGCCAGCTTCCTTCATACTCCATGGTCTAGGCCTGAAATTAGAAAAAGAAAAAATCATCAACCTGGAGAAATAAAAAAACATAATTCTAAACATTAATTTTAGACAGCATTTTAAAATTTTCAAAAGAAGGAAACTAAATCATGGTATATAATCTGGAAAAATCTCCCAACAGGTTTTCGATAAGATAGTGGAATTACTATTCAAAATGTTAGTCATAGTTACTGTCATTAGATAGTCAAAAGATGTAAAGGCAGTGCCTAATAAAATGATCAAGCATGTAACGCTGGTGCAACTCCCAACCAACATATATATCTAGGTTTGCAACGGTACAGACTTCCTGTCATACTTACTCAATTTTTAAGTGAAAAACTACTCAACGTCAAATCTTAAAAGACTTTCATAATTTCCCTCTTCTGTGTGTTGAAGATCCTGTAATAACTTCTAAGGAATGATGATGATTTGTTCTTTTTCAAAAACGCATCAGTAGTAAACATTACCTCGCTCAACGCAACTTTCCACAACAAAGTTCTATTTAGCATAAATACATCCAATAGATAAAGGAAGATGGTAAATTTTGAGAAACATCAGTGGAGATCCAAGTTATTGTAGTTTCACCATCAGTAGTAAAGAATGATTTAAATACTCATTACCTCGCTCAACGCAACTTTCAAGTAGAGGTAAAGAATTTTCCTATGAATAGATGAGTTTACACCAAGTCACACTTCCTTTTGGGCTGCAAAAATCAAGCGAGACATACGGAAATGCGTTCACGTTCAATCTGTATCTGAAATATAAAAAATATAATCACTAAAACAGATGTTGTGTTCCTGCCATATCTCTATACCTATGCATTCTTTATCTATTGATATGCCTATCCACATTCTTTCCCTATCTATTGATATACCTATCCGCATTCTTTCTCTTCATGCGTCACATCACCGGACTTCGCACATTGCACTTTCTATCGAATCACCCATGCGCGGAGCCCGGCCTTGTCACCCTCGACCACCAGAACTTTCTCTTCATCATTTTCTTCAGGACACTAGTCTAGTTTTGGAGTTCGTTACAGTTCAGCAGCGGATAGAGTTCGATTGTACCTCTTGGAGGCCAGGCCTCGGCCGGCTCCTCCACTTTTCACACGTTGAAGTACAGAGTTCATCCCTTATATTTTTGTGTTTCGTGTTTTCATCCTCCTTCCCTTCATCTTGGAGCAAGGGCACCCTACAGAGGCCCAACAAAGTAACGTTACACAGAATACATGATGCAACCATGACTGGGTGTATCTAGTTGGTTTGATGAACCAAATTAGATTGAAAGATGTGCACATAGAATGTATTTCTGATCTCCTTAATTCCAATTTCAATACATTGGGCTGAATACAGTTGGCTATAATCTTCCGATCGACATTTACCGCTGAAGCTGTAGGTATCTTTGCAAACCAGGAACTTCGAAGGTACCCAATAGACAATATCACATGGCAATGATATTTGAATTAATTTAGGGATAAACACTTAGTAAGTACCTAGCGAGATAAGAATAACTGATTAAATAAATAAGAGTTCTTCTAAGATATTTGTTTACAACTTACCTTGAAAGTTTTCATGAGAAGTATTCTACTTTGTTCCTCTTTGGTTCATCATTTAGGGTAATTTGGTCTGTCTGCAGCAGATTATTCAGTTGACCTCGTTAATAAATTTCAAAAGCATCCATAATCACTTCGAAGCAAGCTTACATTGGCATTTATCTTTAATCGCCTTCGCCACGCATTTTTGTTGATGTTTTGTTTTTGAACAAAACGAACGAGGAACGAAACAACAAAGAGGAACGACGACAGACCAGCATGGAACCAGTCCTTGGTCGAATTGAAATTGATTACTATCGATTGATCGATACTTCATGAGAGATCAAGTTAGAAGATTTCGATTGATCGATACATCGATGCTCCCGATCCTTCAAAATTTTGCAAAGCAAATAACTTTTTACAGAGAAACTTTTGAAAGTTCTAATTGCGAAAAGTCACAATGGGAATCCATTACGCGTCGATTCAAATATGATGTTAAAGGATTTTGTTGAGCCGTTATAGAGCATTGCCCGCTTAACTGAACATTTTGGCCCGAAAAATGCGATATTAAGTTTATTTTTGTATTAATACACTCTAACGAGGCCAGTATTTTACGTGTACATCTGACGCCTTCAATATTACACGATACATCTAATCATACTCTTAACTCTTTATTGTTGCTTGTCTGTCGGTTTTAAGGTTTTTTTTCTTTATTGCTGTCCGCGCCTCTATCGAGCGCCATAATACTGGATAAGCTCTCAATTTCATCAGTAAACTCATGTACATAACGCTGTGCTGTGTAAGATTATTCCTTTAAATTTTCAACTTCTAGGTTTTTGTTTATACTAAAACCTCTCTCCACTGATGCTTGTCCATGACTCAATAGCAGAATGGACCACTAGACAAGGTACGAATTTAAGCGATTTGATACATGTTTCTTAACCAGAATTTCACGTGGAAATTGATTCACGCAACAAAAATTACGGAAATCAACTCCTAACGAAGATATTAACGTTTTTATTTCACATTGGTTACGAGGAATTTGAACTGCCCGCTCACAAGAAACTCAAAACTCTACGTGAGTCAAATCGCCCACTACAACGGTTTCAGCAAGCTTCTCAATCGAGCAATGTTCATTTCCCATCATAAGTTGTTCAAACTATTAGCAATTTGCTATAACTGAGCCAAAGCGTCAAGATTGAGGTTGCCAGATTTTTATATCGCAGAGACTGTCATGATGACGTTTAGCGCGCGATGTGAATCACGTAGAGCATTGAGTTTTCATGAGCGGGTGGTTTGAATTCACGCATTAAGAATCATTAAATATCTTCGTAAGGAGTTAATTTCGGTAATTTTCGTTGTGTGCATCGTGTTTTACGTAAAATTTTGGTTAAGAAACATGTCTTAGAATGCTGAAATTTGTACCTTATCTAGTGGTCCATTATTTTGACAACTCTCCATAAATTTTTATACTCATCTTTGTCCATAAAGTTAATATAAAACTCATCAACTCTTGACTTCTCTTTATAAGGCTCATAGTTTGCAAAGGTGACAGCTTTCTTTAAGACAACGTTTTGATAAAATAAATCAAATTCATCAGGAATAATATCAACTTTACCACCTACGACTATTTTACAATCACACAATGTATTTAAGACAGACCTCATTTTTTTCTTGCAAACAGCTGACCGACCAACAGGGGAAGAATCTGCATCGAGGTGAATCATGCTTCTCGGATCCGAACAGGATAAATTTCGAACTAAGGCATGTGATATTGGAAATTTTTCTAAAATTTTTGATAAGACATTCTTGTAAAATTTAATAGCCCCAGTATTTAGATCAAAGTTGTCTTTTTCAGACACTTTTAGAGATTTGAACAGCTTTGAGGCTTCATAGCCTAGATAAACTTTATCATAGGAAAGGCAATTGTTAGCTTGCAAGAACTCAATTACAATGATTTCTTTAATGGTGGTGGCTTTTGCAAGAACTGATGGCTTCACAAATCGTTCCATTAACTTTTTAATGATTTCCTGAAAAGTCGAATGCTTTCTCACTTGACCTCCGAAAAGTGGATCTGAGAAATTCAAGCACTTTTTCAAGCACTCTCCAAAAAATCAAGCACTTGCAAGGCCTTGATTTTTTTTTTCAAATCAAGCACTTTTTAAGCTTGCATGAACCCTGATAAATTAAGCGTTTTGAAAAGAAAAGATGAAGTTGCACAATTTTAAAAACGCTGTAATTGCGCTGGTTCCTTTTTGCTAAATGTAATCCAATAATACTCACAGAACATTTCAAGGAGATCTGTCGATAAGAGTTACTTTAAACAGAGACGACACTAAATGGGCGATTTGTAACCGTCTAAGTAGGTGAAGATACCCATTTTCCAACTTCAGCCATCGACATACTGATATCAGGTATTAGAAAATTGTGAAGGAACTCACCATGACCAGGTACAAAAAATTAACAAAATTAAGCCATTGGGTGAAGAACTTACCTGAAACAAACAAGCAGAACAAAACCTTCAATCAAAGAGCACTGAATAGATAAATGGGTCAGTTGCACATGCCACCAAATCGTGTTTTAACAGTTCTAATGTATAGATTAGTAAAAAGTATTGTGATCTATGCAGAACACCGAGTGTCTGCGTTCAATATTTACAGAAATATTCAAGAGATACTGTGATTTACATCATTCATTGAGTGCCAAATGCTTCTAAAAATGCAATTTTTCCAGGCAAGACTCTGTCATTCTTTTGGGTTATTATAATCTAAGAAAAATGAAAATCTGAAAACTGATCTTCATGTCTCTTGGTGCACCAATGGTCAGAAAGTAATGATGAAAACTATAAATGCGTTTTTCTCACAATGCGGTTTTTCGGTATGTGCTCTTTTTCCGGAAAGCTCCTCTATTATTAGATTCTCTGTCAGTGAAAAAAGGGAGAAAACCATAATAATTTGTTTACTTACATAGATCTACACTTTCCATTATTTTTCTTTTCTTGATGAAAGCTTTTCGAAGCACCTCCGTCCGCAAATCTGTCTGCGCCTTTCGCTTGCTCATACCGTAATGCACCAATGGCGACAAAAATTCACCGGAAACACCACCACGGATTCAAGTCATCAAGGTTATTTTGCTGTTCCGTTTCCGGCCATACGGCGGAAATGCCAGCGAAATGGAGTACTGGAACCATCTGCCCCATTTTCAAAAAGCGCGCCGTTAGTAATTAAGTAAGTAAAAACAGAGGGGCAACAAAGAAAAAAAAATAACAATCTTGAAAGTAAAAGAAAGTAAAGGAGGTAAAAACAAAAAACGATTTCTTAAAAAAATAAAAATGAAAGGGCAACTATAAAAGGAGTAAAGATCACACAGGAAAAATTGTTCAAAATAAGTGACACGCACCTTTTAGTGGCGCATCCGAATCATTTTTGATGGCGGTGGACCAGCTTTAGCCCCTATTCAGGGCTCTGTTGGTGGAGGTAATAAGGTTCTTGACCTTGAACTTAATATCCTTCCATTCTCTATTGGCCAGGCTAGGATTTGCCGATTTGCACTTCAGTGCTTCGGCCTTGCCAATATTTTTTCCATTCCTGATTTCAAGCTGAAAGAATGCTCGTACAGCAGAGTCTTCAGCAAAAGACCACGGCCTCCGGTTGAGCGCACTCTCTTTTCTACTCATTTTCTGTTTCTTCAACTTTACTACAACTTGATCTGTAAACAAAAAAAAAAAGAAAAAACAAATGAATGTCAGATCTCATTTTTCATCTAACTTTGCCCTGTGTGGACACGCTTTTGATTTCGTTTTTTTTTGTAGGTTGTGCAGTCAGCCCAGTTTTCTATAGTTTTCAAAGGTTAAAGTGCCAATCGCGTAAGTGCTGAAGAGAAACTTAGCTTTTTTTTAAGTTTAAGAAGGACATCTGGGAATGATTTGAATTGAAATTGATCGATATAGTTTTTTAGAAGAATTTTTTCGGACGTCATATAATTTTATTCGCGGTGTTTTTGTGTAATTAAAAACAGTTTCAACAAAATATGACTTTTGTCGTTTAAGTTGTTTTTTATTTATGACGTCAACGTGACATCTTGGCACAAAGATGCAGGTGTTTCAACAAGAGGCGTTCATAAATTGCTTAGTAATGAGGCCACTATGAAGGACTAGATCAAGGAATCTTTTATTTTTTCGAAGAACAAATAAATGTTACCAACTTGAGTATACAATACGAAGAAGATCGTCATTCTTACTTGTTTCTTTTTAAATTCCTTCCATCCTGTTTTGTTATTCCATATGCTCTTTTTCAGTTGAATATTTACTTTGAATTACATTTTATCACCTACAAGAAAATGACTTGCTATTCTTATTCATATTTCATTCCATGGGTTTTTTTCCTCTTTTTTTTCAAAAATGCATTTCTACTGACTTTAGAATCCTGTTCATTTCTAAGTTCGAATCTCACCATTGTTCCATACCATTTCATTCCCGCTCTTATCAAGCATTTCTTCAGGAGCCATCCATAAATTATGTAAAACATTTCCCCCAAATTTTAGATATCCCCCCCCCCCCCCACCTATAGAGCTTCCTCTCTTCTTCACACCTTCCATCTTCGGCATTTGTAAGGTTGCCTTGAATCCTCCCTCTTGGGCGCCTTACTTAATTTAAGGACAACCCCAGTATTCCACTTACATTCAAATGCAAACATGATTTGTACATTCCCATGGTCTTCAATGCTTACATTTTACAGGAACGCTGCTACATTTCTGGTTGCACATTACCAACTTGTTTTTCTTACTTCTGTGGTCATAGTTTCCAAAGCAGCTAATACAACCGGGACTTTTGTCTTGGGGCCAAGCTCTGGAGGAGCTCGGGTTTGGCAGTGTCAAATTTTCCAGTATGTTGGCCCCTCCCCAATCTCATTTCCTGACCAGAGGCTACAGTACCCCCCCCCCCCCNAGAAAGTACAGGGATTTCATCTAACCCTGTGGCCTGAATTGTGTTTGGTTGGCTGTTCTTTGAGCATTATTCAGCAATAAAATTTGAGCCGATTATTTATTTGTGGGCAGATTTCTGTCTCTTGAATTTGCTATAATATACAATGAAAGAAGAAAAATTCTTACCATCCGAATCACTTGACGGATCATAATCACTATCGTCCTTGTCGTCTTTGTTGCAGTCATCAACCATCATATCTGTTTTAAAAAAGTTAAACATTACTAATTACCAAAATCATTCAAAAATAAACCTGAGCTTTTAACTCTTGACAAAAGCTATTTTTTAAACGTTAATTTTGAACATAAAGAAGGGTTAAACATGTCAAGTCCCTCACTTTAAGAAGAGCGTACAAAACATTTTAGTGAACATCTTTTGCAGCCTAAAACTGACTGATATGAGAGTACTTGCGAGTGAACAGTATTGAAAACGATAATAAATATTCCCCAATAAAAAACTATTTCTGCAAATGACAAAACTTCGAAATTTATTATGAAGCGAGGAAACAGTCCAATGGAGTACAAACCTGGTATGTTTTATGTTGCCTTTAAAGGGGGCCGCCTCTTTCCCCGGCGTGCTGAATTCGAGGTTTGAACTTCTTCCGTTCCGTGTTCTGTTCACATACATTATTCAGCTCATCAGTTTTATCGTCCTTTCCAGTTTCCTCTTCCAAAACCTTATCCAGAGGAATGTCTGTTTCATAAAAATTGAAGACCAATCATTAGAAAAATCATTAAAAAAATTAACCTAAATTTAAAATTGAAGAGCTAATTTTAAAACATTATTTTTGAACTTGTGGAAAATCTAATCGTGGGGTCGCATAGGGTCAAAAATCACCCTGATCGTTCAAATTAGGCTACCAACATGAAACTTGGTGAAAATGTAGTGTAAGGTTTTTAGTCATACATTTTTTGCAGCCTAAAACTGACTGATATGAGAGTACTTGCGAGTGAACAGTATTGAAAACGATAATAAATATTCCCCAATAAAAAACTTTTTCTGCAAATGACAAAACTTCGAAATTTATTATGAAGCGAGGAAACAGTCTAATGGAGTACAAACCTGGTATGTTTTCTGTTGCCTTTAAAAGGGGCCGCCTCTTTCCCCGGCGTGCTGAATCCGACGTTTGAACTTCTTCCGTGTTCTGTTCACATAGGTTATTCAGCTCATCAGTTTCATCATCTGTTCCATTATCCTCTTCCAGAAAATTGTCCAGAGGAATATCTGTTTCATAAAAATTGAAGACCAATCATTAGAAAAATCATTAAAATATTTAACCTAAACTTAAAATTTATGAGCTAATTTAAAAACATCATTTTTGTACATGTTAAAGATTTCAAAAGGTCAATTGTTGATTTTTTAGAGAGCGTCCAGAATATCATAGTGAAGATTTTTTGTAGTCAAAAGCTGACATTTCCAGTCAGCTTTGAACTAGTCAAGCCTTGCTACTGAGATTAAGTAGTAAAATATTTTTTTAAAAAAAAAAACCATTTTTAAAATATGATCCAACAATACACAGAGCTATGAATCTGTTTTCATGAAAAAATTGTATTCAGAAAGAAAAAGAATAAGTAAATCCCTTGATTGTGTGAACTAACAATACTTTCCTTTTTCTTCTTTTTTTTTTAAAAAATCTTTTGTTCCATCCTAGCAACAATGCAGTGCTATTGAGTTTTCATACACAAGAGCTTAATTGCGCTTTTTGTACAGTAGAAACTGAAATGAGTGTTGATGCACCAAATAGATGAGAAAGTTGATGTTCCTGTCACTAACTCCTCTCTTCAACTAGGGTTTAGACATTGCAATTCACAGATTTCAATTCTTGTTAGTTAAATTAAGCTGATTGAGTTATGGTGATAATAGATAAAATATCATGATTTAAGTACCTTCAAGGGTGATGTCGTCTAGAGTTTTGTTCTGAAATTTAAGGAGGCACCCATGGTCTACAGCAAACATCATTTTAGAGATTTTTGTGATTTCCAAAGCAGTTTCATGCTGCCTGTAGTGTTGCAGGTGAACTCCTAGGCTGTGTCCTAGGTGTTTCGTTACCCAAGACATTTGATTTTCCGGTAAAGCCATATACTGAATGACAGTGGCAGTGTATTTCCGCATTTTCCTGCTCGAGAGCAACTCAGGGCGTTTTAGGCCACACAAAGCCACACATTCTGTGACACACTTGTCTCCCCTGATGCTCTTTAGGGATTTAATCCTATTTGAGACAACAGGGAAGACAAATTTGTTCTCTTCCTGAATTGAGGCCTTGATGTTGTGATGCTTCCGAAATTGAAGTAATAAGTCGATAGCTTTAACGACGGGGGGCGTCAATAATAACCAAACAAAACCCTTTCGTTTGTTGAAAATTGTAACCACTTCAAAAACTTTAGCAAGCTGCTTTTCAAGAGCACTGAGGGTTTGATTAAACTCCTCGGTAGGCTTGAAATTTTTTGGTCGTTTCTCATAGTCTTCAATCAATAGCCTTCCGGCTATGCCGCTCCGCTGCTTATTGAAAGTTATTATTTTCGCTGAGGTGATGTGGATTAGGCCTTTATAGGAATCGACTGTTGGATTTTTTTTTAAAAGTTCCATCCGAATGGGGAGATTTTTATCTAGATATTCGGTGAAGGCTTTTAGGTCTTCCGTTAGCGGTAGCTCCTCAATAAAATTTTTTTTCCGCGAGTCCAAGCTTTGAAGAGCTTTGCTCGCAATTTTGTCGCACCATTCAGCATTGTACAAAGCTAGGAATGCTTTGGTTTTTTTTTTTTAACATTTCATTATAGCTACTCGCCTCAAACTGGCAGACTTGGAGTACTGCATTTACAACATTATCAAAGTTTTCGCCAACTACAAACGTAGAAAGTGGTTCAAATTTTGGTCTGCCTTTATTCAGCTGGATTAGGAGACGACCAAGTTGCCGCATTTCTTGTCGTATACACTCTGCCTTGGATAGGTCCATGTGCCTTTCATACTTGTACAGTCCAAACTGTCGAATTAAAGGATCAGTCCTTGCTACATTTCCAATGGTATCGCTGGAAAGATGCTCCTGAATTCCAGTATTGAAAATGGGATTTGTAGATCCTTTCAGCCCAATGATGATTGATCGTGATTCTTTCAGTACCTGTCTGCTGCGTTTTTCTTCTTCCTCTTCATTTTCTGCAGGCTTATACTTGATTTTCCGTAGAGGACAATTTTTCACGTGGTCAAAAAGCCTGTCCAGACGACAATAACCCAAGCATTCTGGGCATGGGCCGAAATCTTCCGGTATTGTCTCTGCGTTCGATTCATTTGGTCGTTTTAGAACGACCAGTTCTCCCACTCCCGTGTTGAGGACTTCCACATTATGATAAAAATCCCCCAACCGGGTTAATTCGGTTAATTTATCTCGACGTCCCTTTGATTTGACTGGCTCTGAAAATATTTTTATAACTTCAGTTTCTTTGGAGTGTTTACTGCTGAGATGCCTACTCATTTTAATCGAAATAGGCTGAAAGCAGTAATAGCAGTAGTGATATTTGTCATATATTCTTTTTCTTGCAGAATTATGGTCCGAACTGTGACTAATAGAAACTTGAGGCATGGTCACTTGGCGTTGCTGCTTGATTTTTCCCTTTTTATTTTTAGCTATATCTGGACACTGTTCAGCTTCCTCCTCATTGCTCTGTAGAAGAGAAAAAACAAAGAAAATTGAGTATAATATATATGTGAAGAAGTAAAAATAAAAATACACTCGACTTAACCTGGAGAAAAAACAAAGGGTGTCACAAAAAAGCTGGACACAATTTTTCAGGAAATTAACGGTGGAAGATATCCAAATACCGTCTGTGTAGGGATATGAGTCATTATGCTATGTCAAATCAACCAGACTTTTTTAAATTTTTCAACCAGATTTCTCAGAATTTGATGACATTTTTTCCACGTGCTTTATTGGTAGACGTGTCATTTCGTGAAAAATTTTACCTCTCTATGTTGAAAATTCTTCAGAAAAAAAAAATATTGAAGTTTTGAGGCTTTTCTGTAAAACTCAAATTTTGGTGCTGCAAAATGGGAAGGGTCATTTACTTTAATTTTTACCCAAATATGTTAAACATGTGCACAGTCGGTAAGGTTGACATTTAGATGTGCTTGTGTGCCGTATTTTTGCAAGAAGTGTTCAATTCACAATGAGAGAAGGGGTTTACTTGGCTTTTAAATCAACTGCATGTAGTAATTTAAACCTTGCAAACATATGGGAGAATACAATAAAAAGATTCTTCACCAGCTGCTTTCAAGTTACCTTGGCTAGACTCGACATCCAAAATTGTCTATTAAAAGATCAAATGGACTGCATTTTGCAATTCGGAGCTATAATATCTAGCTCATTTGTAAAAACAATTACGTGCATTAGGGAAGTAATGGTACATACATTGTTTCTAAACTGAGCCAGAAATTATAGTTCCAAATTGCAAAATTCGGTCCAAATAGAAATCATACGGTACGACTAAAACCGAAGTATGTTGAAATTACATGATTTTAAAACATTTTACTGTACGTATGGCTCGGAAGTGACGCTAAAATCGCCGCAAAACTAGGACTACATGTCATTATTCTTGACTTTCTGCACCAGTTTTATCTAAATTTAAAGAAAAATATTTTTTCTGATTGAATCGATTCAGAAACTCGAACATAGTTTAATTTATTTCGTCTTGGATTCATTTTAAATCATATGGGCAAATTCTCAAAAACTTTTGCTTCTTTACCCGGTGTATACATATGATTATTGAGGGAAAAATATGTATATAAATTGTAACAATTCAGAGATTTGGGCGATGTTAATTTTTTCCCTGATTTGTTTAAAAAAATAAAACCAACGAAAATATCGCGTCGAAATTTGCTTTGATTCATTTGAAATCATTTTGGAAAATTAGCAACTCTTCAGAAAAACTGTGTGTAGCTTTTTATAAATATTGATTAAAAATATAACATAAGAGGTGGTGCATAACGTTGCAATAAATTAGAGATAGTTTGCTCTCTATCGTGAGCACCCGTCGGCATTTGAATCCATTCATCTCTTAAATAACTTGAACATGGTTGTTCTACGATTTTTTACGTGCATTTTTCTGCCCCGACGGCAGATTTTTATTTCAGGCGGAATGATGGGGAGAAAGGAGGGGGGGTTCTGAATCATTCCAGTATGGAAAGCTCAAATAAACAGCTCTCACCTTTGAATTTATGTTTTCCTCCAATTCAGTCCAAGTCAATCCATCCGCAACAAAAATCCGTTCGTAGGTAAATTGATCTTCCATGTCAAGTTTTTCACAGGACTCTATATAGTAGTCTACATCTTCCTTTAGACTTCTGACCTGTATCAGGAAAGAAATAGAAATTAAATGAAAAAATTGGCTAATTACTGTAAGGTCATCATGGCCTGGAGCCCCCTTAGAATTTGAAAATTCGTAAAAAAAAAAGAAATGAAAATGCTGAAAATAATTTCTGAAGCATAAAATGAATAAAGCATACTCTTCGGTAAATTCAGTTCAAATATTATGTCAATCTATTTAGTTGGAAGGTCACAAAACGCTAACATAGATTTCCTACAGCATGCAAAGTAATAATTACCTATGAAACAGCTTTAAAATAGAGGGCGGCTAAATTCAACTTATGGATTCATCGAACTGAGGAGAGCGTACTTTCACATAAAACTCCATTCAAGTAAATGATGACAGAAGTTATCGAGGTATCACACCGATTTCAAAAAGTGGCCCGTTCGTAGAACGATGCACTTAATACTACAGCCTCTGCAAAGCCTTGAATATACAAATTTGAAAAATAAAATTGAGGCAACACTCAACCCTTCACAAATTCCACTAAGAGAGATACCTACCTCGCAACATCATAAAAAAGCAAAATGAGCTGACCTACTTGTAAGTATATTACGAGGAAATGAAATGAAAATCACAAAGAAAAAGCCGAGCATCTAGTTCCTTCTGTTGCCAGGATATCCGACAAACGTCTAAGATTTTTTGAAATTGAAATTCCCTTGAGGTGTGCTAGCTATTGGGTTCTAGACCTTGGTTGAGCGTTTTTGCTCCACATTAAGTAACGCTTGAAAGCATCATTATCATGAACTTACCACTGACGATAATTAGACTCATGTACTAACCTTGTTTACATCAAATGATGCATCATCCAAAAACTTTTCAAGTTTCTCGATATAAGCATTCAAAATTTCCTTCTTTTTATTAAGTTTGTCAGTTAGGTCCTCTACCGTATCATACTTCTCTATTTTTGATCGTAATTGACCAAGCTGAAAAAAATAAAAATTGTGTCAACAAAATCAATACATCTCCCCTGTCCGAAAAGGCCTATGAAGGCAAGGGGAGGCCTATGCAGTTTGGAAAATTGTTTTGAGGCCTTCATCAAACAGCCGAAGAAAGGATCAAAATCCGACTCTAGAGAAACTTTTTTCCTCTTGAGCGATTGGCTTGGGATGACCCTTCCTTCTTTCATACGATAAATTGAAACAGAAAAACTCAATAAGTCATACATATTTGTCCGCCTTATAAGGTTCCTTTCGGAAGTCATTTTACCACAAAGAAAACTATAGTGGCTGGAACACCACTGCTTTTAAGACCATTAAAGTCGCTTTCTGGGCAAAAATTAATCGAGATCATAATTTGTGTGTGCCTTGTACTACCTTAAATTTTTTTCCACCATATTTTTCTTTGATAGACAACTCATCATGAGTCTACAGTCAAATTTTTGGACAAAAATTGGTTGATTACAGTGAGTTTTTTACAGTTTTTTTTTTTTTTTTTTTTTTTTTTGAGGCTCAATGTCATTGCTAAAATGACTAAAGCGTAACAAAATTCATCTCAGGAATCGCTGGGCTAAAGAGGCTGTACTGGAGTGTTACGGGTGTTAATAATTGAATAGATGTCATTTTTCAATTGCCTCAGTGGACTAAGGTCTCTTTACTCAAGGATGGACACATTTTATTTTATTTACTTAAAATGTTATTCAAAATTAATTTTCCTTTATTTTTTTCTTTCATTTGGACATATTTATGCTTGAATGAGATATATTGCACGCAGATCCTATGCACTTAGTTCCTTTTAGCATAAATATGTCTATTTTGTCCTCAATATATATTTACATTTGGATCGCATTTAGCAAACGAAACCACTGCGATTACAGTGTTTTCTAAACTGTGCAACTTCAGTCTAATCTTGAATGTACCTAAAACTTCAAAGAGTTTTGGTTTTTCTAACAAGAAATTGTTCATTTCAAAAGAAAATGATTCCTTGAATTTCATTACTTGAATATGAGTTAAATTTTTTATAAAACAAAGAAGAAGTTGCACGATTTTAAAAACACTGTAATCGCGTTGGCTCCCTTCTGCTAAATGCTATCCATTTGTTTCTGCATATACCTACCTACATTTATTTTTTAGGAGGATTACACCTCTGATGTTAGCTAAGTATTAGATGATGAAATACAGGATGCCCCAGTGTTAATGCGCCAGAATTCTGGAAATGACTTTTTGGGTCAAAATAAGACTTTTTTGTTATAAAAATCTTTCTGAAAACTCTTTTTTTCGACGCTACAGCCCATCAAAGTTGAGGATTTTCCCTAGAAATTTTCTCATAACTTTGGCGCCAAACGTCAAATGCCGATGAAAATTGAGTTGGAGGGGTAACTTTTAGCGTACTTTTCATTTTTTGTGGTGTCCAGTGCCTAAGACTTCGTGGAAAGACGGTACGCAACATCTGTAAATTAAAAATGTTTGTGACTTTTGAGCCAATGAAAATTTTTTTGAATTCCAACTGCACGGCGTGAAAGATAGCAAAATTTTGAGAAAATGAGAAAAGCTGTGTGTTTTACCAAAATCTGATGGAAAAGCTCTCAACTGCAGCGTAAAAAAGAAGGTCGTTCTCCAAAAGCTCCTGAAGGTAGGCAACCGATCAGCCATGCACACGCACTGGGGTGGCCTACCTTTACGGGCGCTTTTACCTCTTCAATCCATTTTTAAAAAGTTTGTTAACTACAGATGATTACCGCGGTTCTGTAAACGATCGGCGTGCTGCGCCTTGGCCTGCTTGGAGCCCTGACATGACGCCGATGGACTGTTTTGTCTGGGGAACCTTAAAACTAAAAGTTGTCATGATCCTTTGGCGTAAAGTTGCAAAATCTGGGACTGGCTCCGCGTTAACTTTTTGTTTTGAGGTTCCCCAGAGAAATGAGTCCATCGGCGTCTTGTCAGGGCTCCGAGCAGGCCAAGGTGCAGCACGCCGATCGTTTGCAGAGCCGCGGTAATCATCTGTAGTTAACAAACACTTTTAAAATGGATTGGAGAGATAAAAGCGCCCGTAAAGGTTGGCACCCCAGTGCGTGTGCGTAGTTGATTGGTTGCCTACCTTCAGGAGCTTTCGGAGCTTTTCCTTCTTTTTTACGCTACAATTGGGAGCTTTTCCATCAGTTTTTGGTAAAACACACAGCTTACTATATGTTTTCATAATTTTGCGATCTTTCACGCCAAGCAGTCGGAATTCAAAAATTTTAATTGGCTCAAAAGTTACAGCCATTTTTAATTTACAGATGTTGCGTACCGTCTTTCCACGAGGCCTTAAGCATTTGGAATCACTAAAAATGACTATGTGAATGTAAATTATGTGCTCCTTCTATATTTTCTTGTCACATGCATGGGGATCGACTCATTTTATTTTTTCCTTTTAAGAGTAAAAGGGTGATTTAGAGAAAATAAGTTATAATTTAGAGAAATTTACTTGTTGCTTGATAGTATCAATAGACCAAAGTAACCAGCCACGAAGTGCTTTTTTTTCATCTGTTTCCGGAGTGTCGGGGTTTTCCACAATGACTGTTTTTTCTGTTTCCGAAGTGTCAGGGTTTTCCTCAATGACTCGTTCGTTTTGCTAAAAAAAAAAAAAAAATAAAATAAATCTCAAGAGATTTAACGCACAAAGCAGGAAAGGAGGAAAAGGCAAGAACTTTCGCCCTACATTTGGCGGATGCAATAATGAAACATTGAGAGTACAACATTCAGAACGCAAAAGGAGTTTAGGACTAATTTTTCATGGTTTTACGTTATTTTGAAAATTTTAGTTACTGATTAGGCACAGTTCGTTTTATCAAATTCTCCAAGAGTTTTGACAGACACTAATCCACACACCTAATTCATTCCCGAGGACGAGTTTTGGAACTCTCCTGCGCAGTGACATACATATGACGGTTCTTGCGGCGGGAAATTTAAATGCAATGCATCTAGAATGGCACGGCAAATTAATGACAGTGCTCGCAATGGCGGAAAAAAGAAGTTTCCTGCTAAAAAAAATGCTAAGAAAAAAACCAACTTCCATCTTAAGACCTCAGGATTTTTGGGCGCCCAACCATACTTCAGCCTTTTTTTGTATTTTGTTGCCAGATTGCTGGTTTTCCTACATTTAACCCATGGAATATATCCACATTATATCGCATAACCTCGCAGCCTTGACCGCCAATGGAGATGTTGCATGTGCAAGGGATTTGCAATTTGACCATTGTTTCTTATGTAAAAGTTTGCGAAAAACACGATGGTGCCACTGGTTTTCTCTGAAATCATCTCCCAATCTCAAAAAAAGCTCTCAAAGTGAGGCTAAAATGGAGGGCATATCCCACCCTACCCTGAGAGTCCACCTCTACATCAAAACAAACTCTCCATGCAAAGATAAGGAGCAAATACAGTAGCAGGGTTGCCACTTTATTTGGGGACTCCAAAACTGAAAACACGGCATCACTGCTAATGTATTTGCTCCCTATCTTTGCATGGAGAGTTTGTTTTGATGTAGAGGTGGACTCTCAGGGTAGGATGGGATATCCCCTACATTTTAGCCTCACTTTCACTTTTGTCGGCCTCCTATGGTGTAGTGGTTGTAGCGCTTGCTCTATGATTGGGAGGTCCCGGGTACGATTCCCGGCCAGTCGACCCGAGTTTGATGGTCTCAAACAATGGTTGCCTGGGACTGGTTCAGTAGGGACGGAGGGGGGATGGGACTTAAAGCGTGGGATTAGCCCTTGTGGGCTATTTGAAGTAGAAAAAAAAAAAAAAAAAAACTTTGAGAGCTTTTTTTGAGCTTCGGAGATGATTTCAGAGAAAACCAGTGGCACCATCGTGTTTCTCGCGAACTTTTACATAAGAATCAATGGTCAAATCGCAAATCCCTCACACATGCAACATCTCCATTCTATGCCGTCAAGACTAAGGTTGGGTGGGGGTGGATCTCAAAATGATGCGCAGTGGATACCTGTGGATTGGTCTTGATTTTAACTGAAAAAAAAGAGAAAAACAATCTGGAATTCATAGATACAATAAAGCAGGGTGGAAATTCAGGTCCTGTTTCAAAATTCCATAACTTTTCTCTCACTTTACACACAATAGACATGTGAATTTTACTGCTGAATTTTAGCACGACTAGTCGAAAAACATTTTCAAAAAGTCAGGGAATTTTGAGTTTGGATTAAACTTGCGACCCTGAAAATACATTTTATAGTCGGAACAGCTGACCCGGAAAATATAAACCACAGGTATTTATTCAGGGATTAACCAAAGTAGATTATCCAAAGTACTCTTATATTATGATGATATTAAGTGTTACTTACCCCAATCATCGCGTCTCTGTATTTCGTAAACTTGAGGGCAATGCCCTTTGGAACGAAGTCCAGATCGCTTGTTTCTAGTGTGTCTACCAGAGTGTCGTCGACCAAGTTGTCTGAAATGTAAAAACAAAAACGTAGCTGGGTGCTTTCAAATAAGGGTCTAATTTAGTGTCCACAGTTGTTTTCATCTGTATAATATGACAAAAATGGTCAAATCACAGTATTTTTCTCAGTTTTTATGCTATTGTCGACTAATACACACTATTTTCCACATTCTTTAGACTAAAATAAAATTTAGCAGAATTTCAAATGTGCAAATTGCCATAATTGATCTCAAATTTGCGTGTACCCCGTACCTGGTTCTGGACTTACGACAGATAATGCAGCACAACTAGGGAGATTGTTTTGGAAAACTTCATTGAAAATCGAAGGTAATACCTTTGGATTTGAGGAAAAAAATAGGTTCGATTTTTTTTTTTACATCAATAACTTTTCACGCGTTAGAATCATTGTCCCCAGCAACAGTCAGAAGAAACATGGCAACGGCGTGACGAGTTTTAAGATCAGCCGGAATCTCGAGAAGGGATCACGTAAGAAACGAAAGAGTGCGTGAGATAATGGACGCCAAGCAGACCATCGTGCATGACATTATGACAAAACAACTAATTTGGTACGGTCATGTCCAGAGAATGGCAGGAGACAGGTTGCCGAAGAAGGTCCTTGACTGGGTTCCTCCTGGGAGAAGACGCAGAGGGCGCCCAATGAAAGGTTGGAGGGAAGGGATTGAAGCGGAAATGTTAAGGTGCTCAATCCCCCATGATTTGTGGTTTAAAAGAGAGCAGTGGAGGTTAGGAGTCGTAGAGCGCGAGTGAGTGCTGTAAAGCGACTTATATGTATGCCTATTCAAGTTTTTTTGCACCGCCCGACGCGGGATGGAGGGCAGAACCTCCGCTCCAAACGCGGCTCCAATCGGCCTGGCAGGAAGGGAGCCAGGCCGATTTTTCCGAAAACCGTCGGAGGATACTTTTGGTGAATATTATTGCAATCGCGGTCAATTTTAGTGACAGTAGCTGGGAACATTTTAATTTATTTTGGGGAGTAATTGCAATCGCACTGTGTAATAGCGACTGCTGAAACTTAAGATTGCAGGACTCAGCGTTTGATTTCAATTTTTTTTTTTTTTTTTTGGCAATGCGACGCTAGAACATACAAACGATGAAAAAAATTAAAAATTAAAATTCAAGAATATTGGCCATGTTCCGCGATAGAGCAATTCAAATCTTCCTCCTCTTCTCTTCTGATGAATGAAATTATTGAACTGCCGCAGTAACCCTCAAGTCCCCGGCCGCTACGCTTCCCACACCAGAGTTTGAAAAAGAAGGTAGTAGATAGTACGAAATACTACCTGAGAAAGAAGAGGAATGAAGATCTGTTTCTTAAATCGGTACACGAGGCGGACACCCAGCTGAACACCCTCACACACACCCTTACCTTTGATCTAAAATTACCCTATCGCTGCTCTACCCTTAAACTATGCTCATTGACCAATGCGCCTTCAAATTTCTGGGATACCAACCCATTTACACTTTCTCCCCGACTGCAAGTTCGCAGACTACATGAGTTCGTTCGCCCATGGAAGAGCCTCTTTCCGCTGCTGAGCTTGGTTGTGAGGTTCATGAAACTTTAACAATGGTTCGTTGTCATACATTCAGCGATGCTCGAGGCGTGTTTGAGGGGGGGGGGGTCCCCCAAACGCCCCTCCCCTCCAGATCAGAAGGAGGATGTTAGGCGTCAGGAAAATGTTCAAATGCTCCGTTAAAAAAACACGATTTTAAACAGTTTTAAGGTACGGTTACGTTTGCAAGTTGGTTTTGGAAAACCAAACACAAAGTTTTGTTTGTTTTGTAACAAAAGACTCCTTAAATTTAAAAAAAAAAAAAAAAAAAAAATCTAAATTTTGCGCCCCTCGAAATGTTGCGCCCTAAGCACCGGAGAGAATATTTGAATATTTATCATGATCATTATCATCGTTGTTATTATTTGGAGCATCATCATCCTAATCATCATCATGTACGAAGGAGATTAATGATTTCCAGTTCCATATCGGCTTACCTTCGGGACTCTCCGCCGGTAGCAACGATCATGTTCGAACGTTAAGTGCGAGGGCGGTGGAGGATCGGGTAGATGCCGGAGTTTACGGCGCTCTGAATGCAATAGCTTCCACTCTGTAGGTTACATTCTCTCGGATATACAAATCCGAGATTATCCTATCCATACGGATACCGTAGCACCTTTGTACGAAACCGATGTCCGACCATGAGAATGATGCAGATGCCAGCACGAGCTGGGCGCCCGGGAGCGACCGAACAGTCTGGGAGACTTGGATTAATTCATCCCGAAATTCGAATGCCGCAAGAATAGCATCGCGGTTTCTGCAAGTGTAAAGAAAAACTTTAAGTCTCCGCGCCTCGACACAAACGCAGGAGGCGGTGATGGAAGCGGTCATTGACCAAGTTGAATCATGGGAATATGATGCGAGCGCTTTCTCCGCTTTCAAGTTCGTAAAGCTGCTTTGTCTGGTTTTTCAACAAATGATTAACGCATTCAACTTTTATAACTTCACGCCCACAAGGCACTTTCTCCGCGATGTGGCTAAACATCCTGGGATCACCATCGCCAATGATTTTTTATAGCGGAGACCATACTCCTTCTGGAGGAACCTCCATACTTCCTTGTGGAGGAACCTCCATACTTCCTTGTGGAGGAACCCCTCCACAATGATGGACGCCTCCATTGCAGGAATTAACCTGTCCAGTTTTGGTAGCAAGTGTGGGGCGGCCATGCCCCGCCTTGTCGCTCTGCAACCTTGCAGATGTAGCAGTGCCTGTTACGCACGCCAAGATAGAGCAGCTTACCAGTCTCCTTTCCGATGATCACGGCGCAGCCGGATTTCGCTGTGTACCGGCGACCATAGCTGCGATCAAACCAACCTCCGTCCACATAATCCATTCGTCCATATGGTCGTGGCCTCCGCCATTGGCCATTGTAGCAATAACTGCTGCTGTATTCACTTCCCTCGAATCGCATGTGATGGTCTCAATGCTTCACTCCTCATCGCAATATTCACAAGCGAAAATTAGAATGCTTTTGAAGCCACGTATTATCTCTCTCTGAAGCGAGAAGTGGCAATTTCGATTCTCCTCACATTCATGGCCCTCCAACGTCCTGCTCTCGGTCACCAGATGTGCAATGTCTACAACACGCCTATACTTCAGTGCATCAATGTTCTTATATCCAAACCAGCTGGTCTGCAATATTCCACTGGAATGATGTGTCGCTCTACCTCTGCATCTCTGTAACATAGAAAGTAATTTTATGAGCTAAATCTGATGAACAAAAAATCTTCTGTGTTCTCTAAAAGTCAGAGGTGTCAATTCCATCTGACAAACGCATGATTAAGAGGACAAGTGAGAAAGCAAGTCAATTCTATTGAAAACAAGTCAAAATCTATTTCTTCGTATTCTTGTCTTTTCCAATCAACAAACAAAATTTCAACTATCGGGCTGCTCATAGCCCTCATTCTCTGATACAATTTCCATCGCGATCTGAAAATATCCCTTTAGGGGTGTAGAACTGTAGAATCTGGACTGGGCTACTGAAATGTAAAAATATATAAAGTACCTACTTTACAGAATTGGAATTTCTTTTTGTCTCATTCTATATGCTTTTTGGTAGTTCATTCTTTTACCCTATTTCACAGTTGCACTGGAAACTGAAAAACATAAAGGCTTCAAACACTCATTTTTCATGTTTGTTGCTTGGATTTCACAATACAATCATGTTATTACATTGAAGCTAATAGGGCTTACCTACAGCTTAAAATTTGGAGGCTTATAAATATTTACCACAAGGCTGGTGGAAAAAAACTCACCCTCGGCAGGTGGTGGCCCCTCGACAGTTTTTACCATCTCATCAGCGAGCGCAATCATCTGTAACTAAACGGATGATGGTATTATTGTAAAATGGTTTTGTCAAAATATCACATTGGCAATTTTCAGAATAGCTAGGCTGAATTTATGAATTGAATATCAGTTTAATTGAGGCTCAAAAATGTATGCAAGAGAAAAGGAGACTGTTGGTTTATTTACATAAAACTTGAAAAAAAAAGAAGAAGAAGTGACTGCTTCCAATCAAAGACAATCCTTGAAACCAAAAGGCATTTATTGAATTAATAAAGGTACCTACTAATGAGGGCTGTTGTGGACAAGCAGTACTGGACATTGTACATTTTATTGACTTGGAAACTATACATTCATCACACAACAATTTGAGAGGTAGGTACGTATAATTGTTTTGCCCTCATAATATTAGGAAATGCACCAATGTAAATCATAATAAACTTTTCTTTCAGTTTCTTCAATGATATATTTNGGGGGGGGGGGGGGGGGGTGTTAATCATTTAGAATTGGCAAAATACACAGACGAGAAAAATTGCACAAATTGAAGTATTCGTATTTTGGCTGGGTTACAGTGGTCTAACATGGATCGCTAAGATCAATTGATGAATTGTTACTATGGAGGGACAGTTTTAATTTACTTACGCTTAATTCATGCTGGTTGTGCGCCACATCTTTCAGCATCTTTGTCATCGTCAGGAATTGATTCTCCAGTTGCCTGATCCTAATCTCATGTTTTTTCAAACATTTTATGAGTTGCGTAGTACGGTCATTTTCCTAGAATAGCAAAAAAAGGGGGAATCATTCAATGTCAGGAGAACAAGGAGAATTAAGTGAATTTTTCCAATTACTTCTTTTTCATTACTTTTTGGTTCAAATTGAGAATTAATAATTCTATGTTAAGGCTTGGAAGCACAGCAGAACGCACAAGCAAAACAGTTGTTTTGGAAACAAATCAATTTCTTTATTTGACCAATGCTGTAAAGATTGAGTAACTCTCCTATGCTGCTGTGCGAAGAAAGAACGTCGTATGAACCTTCAGACGTTGCCAAATTTTCTTGGATAAAACATGAATTTCCTGGTCAACTTATGATTATTTTCCTTCCAATTTTTCAGATAATTTTGCACGCAATTTCACCTAAAGTCCCTAGAAATTTCAAGGCAAAATATTCTCAACTTTCCTCAAAAATGAACATTTTATCGAAGGAAATTTGGCAACTTTCGAATGCTCTCACGGCGTTCGCGTTCTTCCTCAACACGGCAGTATGAAAGACATGCATTTCGACGGCGTAAGTAAGTCTGAAACCACGTATCTTGGTTTGCGACGAAGCAGACTTTCCTGTCATAATTTATTTTTTTCATGGAATACTACTCGACGGCTAGGTTTAAAAACTGCCGTAATTTTTCTTCTCTGCACGAAGAAAACTCTGCGAAAACTCCAAGTGCCTAATGATGTGAATTTGTTCTCCTTCTAAAAAATAAAATAGGAGCGGAGATTTTCAAACTCTAGGAACGAGACACGTGGTTGCCGACTCACATCGTCGATTTAAGCTGATTCATACTCCGGTATAAAGAGGGTTTTCAAGAAAGTTCAATGCATTTTGTTGCTATTTTTCTAATGGGGAAAAAGTTCATCATGAGGCGTAACTTATTAATCTTGATTCAAACATCTTACTTACCTCGGGAATCGTGGGGAGGTTTGGCCTTCTTGCCGGACGGCACATTAGATACCTGTGGTGGTGCCATATTGAATAGGTACAAATTTACAATTAAACAAACAAAGAAAAGAACAAAAGAAACAATGAACAAGCGAACGAATCGAGAAGCAAACAACTTCCTAGGCGAACGTCTGAAATCTTGCCATGAACCATGTACAGTCCCCTGCAAGGTACAAAATGGAGTACTGGAACCATCTGCCCCATTTTCAAAAAGCGCGTCGTTAGTAATTAAGTAAGTAAAAACAGAAGGGCAACAAAAGAAAAAAAAATAACAATCTTGAAAGTAAAGGAAAGTAAAGGAGGTAAAAACAAAAAACGATTTTTTAAAAAAATAAAAATGAAAGGGCAACTACAAAAGGAGTAAATATCACACAGGAAAAACTGTCCAAAATAAGTGACAGGCACCTTTCAGTGGCGCATTCGAATTATTTTGTTGGCTGCGGTCCAGCTTTCGCCTTATTCAAGGCTGTCTTGGTGGCGGTAATGAGGTTTTTAACTTTAAATTTTATGTCCTTCCACTCCCTATTTGCCAACCTTAAGATCAAAATGGACCGAAAAGAGCATGCACGGTCAGTACCCTCGCTTACTGGAAGAAGACAGAGTCGAAAGCACTCTTTCAACCATGTGGCTGAGCAAAGGAGCATTAAAAGGAGAAACCGAAAGCCTAATTGCAGCAGCCCAAGACCAGGCTCTTAACACTAGGTACCGAGATCGGAAAATACCCGGCAGAGCCCGAGACAGTAAGTGCAGAATTTGCCATCAGCACGAGGAAACTGTAGATCACATAATATCGGCGTGCCCGATCCTTGCCAAAAAGGACTACATAGAACGGCGTGACAGAGTGTGCACTATCGATTTCCTCGTTTAAGGAATTGAAATTATCGACTGTCCACTGCTTGCTCCCGTTGGAAATATAATAAAACGCTTTGGGAATCGGAGTCCTCGCTTTTTCGCACGATTTGATAACGGTTTTGAGGGCCTAAAAAAAAAGGGTTATGATTAATTAAAGGAATTATTATTTTATCCCTCTAGTATAATGTCAAATTGTCATTTTAGGTAAAGGATAAGTTAACAGATTTTTTCAATTCTTACCTCAAGAATCACGGTGAGGTTATATTTTGTCTTGGACGACGTGTCTACACATAAAAAGAATCTTCACGCTTGCCAAAAGACTGCCCCCAGTGGGGCTCCCTTTAAGACTTTGGCGTACTCCGGCATTAGATTACGAGGCACTACTGCCGACACATTATTCTGCATTGAGGAGATCCGGAGATTCGTCGAGTTATAGAAAATAAGGTGTGTTGTACCGGTATCTATGGGGGCAAACAGTGTGTACTTAGATATTTGCGACACGTAGATATCGTAGAAGAACGGGCTCTTGCGCGAAGCCTCTCTTCGGACTCCGTGAAAGAAAAGAAAAATCGGGGTTACAACATGGGAATTAATTAAGGAGCCAATTGTGAATATCATCGGAAAGAAACTTAGTTTTTGTATCAATATGAAATATAAAAGTCTCTTTGGCGACACTTCTTCTTATACTTTAACATCATATATACATGTCTCTGAGGAGAGACTTATCTCTTTCACTAAACATGATATATAAATGACTCCTAGTAGATGCTTTCCTCTGCAGGTTCGGTGGGAATGCTGGGATCTGAAACTACACTTTTGGAACTATCTCTGTACTCTTGCACAAATTGACCGAAGTCTGGGACCGGAGGGAGATAAAGAACTTGAGTGGGGCTATTAATCCAGTCATTACGAATATTTTCGAAGAGGTGAACACTGAACAGTATCGAACAAAGGGTAAAGGCACTTACTGGCATCAAAAAAAAAAAAACTGCGGAGAGTATGTGTATCCGTTGCTGTAGTAAGTCGAAAATGAAATAATAAATATTAAGGTAAGAAATTATCTATAATATATGTAAATGTTCGGTTCCCTGATGTGGTAAAAAATATTTCATCTTTTTCTACAAAAACTGCTAAGGATGAAATGCTGTTTTGACGTTATCATGAGCATTGTTCATTTGTATACGTTCAAGGGAAATTATGAAAAACCTCTGTGTGACAATAAATTTTCAACTACTACGAAAGTAATGAAATGTTCAAGTACTGCAAAATAGTTTCTCCTATCAAACAATTTATATTCCCACTGGACAAGTTATTCATTCTCTCGTGTAGGTTATGAATTGTTCAACTACTACATGAAAGTTTCTCCTATATCCACTCTCGTTAACGTCAACGCAACTCTCAATTTGTTTGCATTGGACCGTTGTTTCTTGCAATTTTTACCTGTTCTTTCAGCACATAATTTTGAACTAACTCTTGGCATAATTTTAGACGTCGACATCTACCGTCCCTTACGGTCCGTAATTCGTTAGTGTAATCGATGGCACCGTTTTGGCGGGAAGCATTCTCTCTGTAAGAAGAAGCGTTTTACCACTAGGTGGTTCTCCAAACGCTAAAAAACTGCTGCAAAAGATGAGTGGACAGCTTTGTCAAAAGATGCAAACATGAGTGAGGGAAGAAGAAAATAGTGTCCGCCACTACGACGCGAAACTTATTGTCTATATTTTCCACGTCGATCCTTTTACACAGATTACCCAATATTATGATAATAATATGTATATCATTGATAATTCTAAGCATGCCAATGCACCCGATTGAATATTTTACCATGTGATGGATGAAAAACGTGCCTGATGAAGTTTAATTACCTCCATTACGACAGCTCCATCGTATTTGGTTCCACTACTTCGTTGAATGCATGCAAAAACCGTCCAGGGGACCAAAAAATTGAACCAACGCTTGCATTCTTAAGTGGACCCCTATAGGGTCATCAGTAGCCGGGTGCCAATACGGGTCAGAGTAAGAAGGGATATAATTCTATTTCTCTCCTTTTAAGGGTAGTACGAGGGGCGTTCAATAAGTAAGTATCCCCCCTCTCTAAAATCCATTAGAATGAACCAATTTCAAAAAACTTGGGCTCAAAATCTTCCTTAGGATATTTTGAGTTCAACAAAACAAACCGCAACAAAATTGGACCATGTCCGGCCGAACGCGAGCCGTTTGAACGCGCCGAGGTGCTCGACGCTCCCGCCGAATCCGCGAGGATTTGAAGTCCACCACAGGAGAAGAGCTTCTCTGCCAAAGCCTCAGTCGTTAATCACTGACGAAAAATCAAAGAAATTTTGGAAATAATAAATGGCAAACCAGACCACCATTTATTCCCGTTCCTGAAATCTGAACTTGGAGGAGTTAATGTTGAATCAGGGGAAGAGGTCAAACAAGCCGTCCTTTCTTTCATCCCCGGTCAGCTGAAAGACTTCCACTCGCGAGGCATCCAAAAGCTGTTCTCTTAGTCTCAGCATCAGACTTGCTTGGATCGAGCTGGTTATGTGGAGAAGTGAGGTAAGCCCCTTATTCTACAAAAAGTTCTCTGATTTTTCGTCAGTGATGAACGACTGAGGCTTTGGCAGAGAAGCTCTTCTCCTGTAGCGGACTTCAAATCCTCGCGGATTCGGCGGGAGCGTCGAGCACCTCGGCGCGTTCAAACGGCTCGCGTTCGGCCGGACATGGTCCAATTTTGTTGTAGTTTGTTTTGTTGAACTCAAAATATCCTAAGGAAGATTTTGAGCCCAAGTTTTTTGAAATTGGTTCATTCTAATGGATTTTAGAGAGGGGGGATACTTACTTATTGAACGCCCCTCGTACATTCATGGAATATTCGACTCTGAATTCATTGATTTATCATGGAATTTTTTCATTCGCTGATACGTAAACACTACGAATACAATCAGTTTCAATGCACACATGAAGCTTACACACTGAATAGGAACAAGCAATTGCGAACAGACATGTCAGGTTAACCAATGATTAACAGGATTTTTGTCGAGAAACTTTTGCCAACTGACGCCGGTGTGACCATCTTTAATCAGCCTTACGAAAATATGATTCCAAATTGCAAAACGGGTCCGCGTCTGATGATATTCTGCGAAGTATGTGCACTACAGTCTTTGCATTTTGCATGGTTCCAGTTGGGGGATGGGAGGGGGGGATTAAGGCGGAGGGTTTTCGACCCCGCTCGGGCCACCAAGTTGATTTGCGTGTTGGTTCTCATTCTTGCTGCTGGAGACGACCAATCTCCATTATTTTCGGCAACTGTAAACGAAACATGAAATTTATTAAAGAAGTCAAGAATTTAATGTACCTGTTTATATCTAACAAATTGCTGCAGGCATCCTTTGCCTTCTACCTAAAACTACCGAGTCTATTAATCTTGTTTTAATTTTTAAAAGAAGACAAAACATCGAATTCTTCTTGGATTCCAAGAATGCAAGTTTACTTGCTTACGATAAACG